AGTCTTCTCATAACAGTCGGCGCTGGAGTTTGGAAATTGCTGAAGTTTCCTGGTTCACCCTCACAATGTAACGGTATGGTTAGGCTAACAGCTAATTTTGGCATAGCTCTTCAGTTGTATTGCGATGAACAGGGAATTCTGGGACTGTCCAACGATTCGTCAGGTCCTACTTGCGCTTTTTGAAGGAGGAGGCCGGTTCTGAACGTTTGTTTGTTGGGATGTTTTGGGAGGGAGTCGTAGCGCATCACATGGCATTCAAATCCCTTCATCCTCCAGCCATCCTGCGTTCAAGATTATCCTTGGCATTTTGTACACGGAAATCTATGAGTGTATAATATTTCATCAGGTCGCTTCGATATGGTATTCTTCACAATGAAGAATGGTGATGTATCAGTATGCAGGGGGGGCGACGTATCACATGCCCGGTGTTGGGTCGGCAGTTGAAATTTTTTTTCATATTCGCTCCTGTAAGAGCTTGACGGCTGCTGGAAGCATGCGCTGCGCAGACGGGTCTACGGTTTTTGAGTGTAACGATCTGCAACCTATCAGGGGTACTCACCAATACACTTGATTTCCTCTTCTTCTTGAAGGGCAATGATCACGTCACTACAGAGTCACAGTCAGATATTGATGACGTCATTGGACGTCATTGGTGAACGGGGTTGAAGGCGCAGTTCCAAGGAAAAGGCAACCTGCAGGAAATCAAGCGCTGAAGGGGATGGTGCGAGTGGATGGAGAAAAATGAGGAAACGACAGAGCAAGAAGGGGGGGGTCCCGCTTTCTTTATGCCGTTGGTTTCGCCTTGATGCGCTATCATGCGCCCTATGTAGATAGCGCTCTCTGCTACACGCCTAGAGTCAGACGGAGAGAGCGTGACGCCCTCTCATACGCTTTGCTCTGCCGCCTATCCTCTCCCCTTTGTGCTAAGTCTCCCATTGCCTTAGCCCGAAAGTGAGTAAGGCCTTGACTTTGACGTTTTTGAAAGATTTTTGGCTTTTTATGCCGATGTCAGACTTTTGCGAATCAAGCGATTCGCTAGCGGGACCCAACGGTCAAGGGGAGTGCTGCCACTTTCAAAGTGTGTTCGTTAAGAGCGAGAAATCACGATAAAGTGCGTAGAAATCACGATAAAGTGTGTGTACAGCATAGGAGTACATGCACCAGTAGAAGCAGTAATCAGGGGTCTAAGAAAGCGTGATGGGCCTTTTTTGCGGCCTAAGGAGACCTAGTTGCAGCGCATTGGGCTTGCCGACCCTTACTGAGCTCCGCCTTCGCCTGTGCTCCGTCCCCTAGCACAGCACCCTTAGATTATTTTGCAAAGGTATTGTACTTTGTGTGGCGGTAACTTTTCTGAGGGATGTAGTTTGAGTAAAAATGGTGTTCGCTGACAGGATGGTGGTTTTCGCGTTGAAATTTTGCAACGACCTCCTAATTGGTTGCTAGCTCGTCCATTATCGGAGGTCAACGGGCAAAGAAAGGGGTCCCATTTTGCGCCTTCTTGACGGATTTCTTTGCTTTTTTCGCCACTGGGGCATTATTCAGCATCTCCACTTCCACTATGAACCCAACCCAATATTATCGTAATCCCTCGCTTTAGAGTGGACTTTCTTTAGACGTTGGGCCCGCCACTTTCAAACAGTGAGAAGTCGCTGGTACATCGTTCGATCCGCTGGCGCACAGCTCGATTCGCTGGTGCAACGCTCGAATCCAGCGAATCGCTGGATTCGCGAAGTCTGATCGGCCTTACTGCCGCCCACTTCGCACCAGTGCTCTCATTTTCGAGCTCAAGAACCACACCAGTATTATTTCGGGGTATCCCTTCAACTTGGTGGACAATTTTTCCATAACTACGTTTTTTGGAGGACGCTGCCCAAGCAAATGGACAAGCAGTGCTACTGATTGGACAATGTATCTAGATGGGCCAGATTCAAACTACCGATCAAGTAGTGTTTTCCAAATCTAGTATAAGAGTCAAAGACAATGTTGTGACGCAAATGGCAATCGCCAAGAAGCATTGTAGGAAAGCTTGCCTCCCAAACCGTACTCTGCTTCATTCTACGTTTTTGTGGCCAGTTCAAAACTTTTCTGCCTATCACGTTGAACAAAATATAATAGAATTGAGATGAAGAATGTATGCTTTCCTTTCAGATCAAATTGTAATCGTTGGACCACGAAAAGGAGGAAGAGGCCAGTACGAATATGTGATTCTATCGAACTGGGCACGATTTCCGTTGATTGGTCTAGTAAGAGACATTCGTGTCTTTTACAAGAAATACAAGGACCAACTCGAAGTGGAACTCGAAAAAGAGGGTTTCATCAATGATTATTCGGGGTAATAACTTACATGTCCTCGACACCTCAAGGCACATTCCGCGATTGAGTAGGTCATTAATGCGTTCGAAAATGGGAGTATTATACTTGTGGTGATTGATCAAGCCGTAATGAAAGGAAAAACTGCTGTGAATCTCAGAATCACACCGCGACTGATCATATGGGCGGGGTTTTCGCTCCGCCCCTATAGGGAGGTCATTGGTTATTTCGATATCTTTGTCGTGTTCTAGCGAGCCAAGAGCAGCAGCTAACCAATGAGCATTCGGCAGTAGTGGGACGCAATCCCAGTCCCTTACGGTTAGCGCGCTGATTTATTTTGACGGTTTTTAGCATTTTTCGTTCTATTTCATTACTGAGAGCCAAATTCCAGAACCAAATTAATTTTGAGTGCAATTACGCTCATTAACTCAAACACGGAATGTGCCTATATTAAGCATTGAATTTCTATTTTACATAGTGGCTCCTTCTCTTCATGATTCAAAAATGAAGCATAGTGCTGAAGAAAATACCTACCGAGTGGGTATAAGCTCCTGAAAAATGGTGATTTGCTGGGATCGTGACGTTTTGGTGAAATCCTTCGTGAATAAACAACTGAAAGGAATTCTAGTGGTGTACAATCCAGTTTTCACAAAGGTGTAAGGCTTTTCAGATGCACTATTTCGCTCAAAGACATAGGGGTGGTAAAAATAGATGTTTAGTCACTGAGTGGTGCATCAGCGAAACAAAGGAAATAGATGCGGATTTTTCCTGTTTCAGATCGGCCAGCATTCATTACGCTGACTGGTCGAAGTGCAGGCCAGCTACACCAGTCAGCTATATTCAAAATGTTCTCACTGAATTATTTGGATAATCACGGCCTGACACAATGTAGTTGATTTCGATTGGCGCTGAAGCTGGATGATGGCCAAGACGATCACTCACGTGTGTATGTACATAACTCATAAAAAACCGCAATTCTATTCTTAATTTATTTCATAGTTCACATGGTTCAAAATAAATCTATTATTTCATCTTCTAGCCTTATCAGATTTTTGCTTTCGGACATGATCAGCTGTTAGCATTTCTATGTCGAGCTGCTTTGAATGTGTTTCTGTTTCTAATGTGCATATGTCGTGCCATGCCTTACACTACACGCGCTGAAAGTACGCGCCGCCGCCGCGCTTCCGCCTCAAAGCGCACGAATTTGCCGCAAGTTTGAACGGTACAAACCGTGTCAGTTTCATTCCCTCGACAGCGCTTAACACGTTGACGACAGCATGACGCGCATGCGCGTCAGAATTTCACCCGATTCTGGCTAGTTTTTTCGATTTATTTGGCCTTTTTCATATTTCAAAACTGTGTGCATGCGTTATCTTATCCGAAAAACTGTGAGTCAATTACCAGTAGTGGAATTATTGAAGAAGTTATGACGATTGTGAAAAAATAAACAAAAAGTTGCCGAGGTACGTCAACGTAGGGCTGTCGTCAACGTGTTGACTAAGTAGTGTCCGAAGACTACTGCAGCGAGCCAGACTTATCAATTATATACGTCTGCACTTCGGACACCTTGAACAGTTTCACGCGCGTTTTAGGCTGGTGTCAGACTTAGCCAATCCAACGAATCGCTAGCAAATCGCGGAGTTTGAACAAGGCACCAGCGAATCAAGAATGTGGAGAGGATCCCTCGCCTTTGTGCATAGACTTTCGCTTTAGGCTCGCGAGGGCATGAGGGCCCATGAAAGTGGTGAGGGTCGACACGAGCGAGAAAAATTCTTACGACCTTCCCATACTACCAAATCGCCGAGACATCGGTCAAACCACTGCCGCATCGCTCGCAACTCGCGATTCGCTACATTCGCAAAGCCTGACAACGGCCTTGTTGCGTGTGGAGGAGGGAGGGGAGGGGCGTGTGTTCCTGACACACAACTCCGGTCGATTCCGTGTAGTTCAGTCACCTCTTTATTCGCTGATTTCCAACTTAACTCAAAAAATTTTTGTGCTTTCTCCGTGACATCCAAAATTAGTAAAGCCGGGTTACATCATTGCAACCAGTACCGATTGTTCCTCGTTACACTTCGACCGCTCTAACTACATCGGCGCTTTTCTTCACATTTCAAACTGTTCATGAATTACCCAGTCAATTGTTTCTCAATTTTGAAAGTAGGCTCATGACCAATCAGTGTGAGTGGTATACCCTCACAACAAACACCACAACAGAGGTAAGGGCATTTTTGATAGTTGCACTTCACAATCAAATAATTGAGCTGTGATAGTGCCCGTTTTTTACTTCCGCAGATGTCTCTGTTTTGATTTAGGTTATGCAAACTTTCCTACGTACCCAGGCAAGACACGACTTCCGTGGTAAAGGATAACGGGGACTTTGAAAAGAAAGGAAACCCTGAAAATTTAATTCTTTCCCTCAGTTGAACCTGGATGGAGGCGAGTTTGACTGAGTACGATATTGTAAGAGCAATTGTCTAGCGCGTGGCGCTACTACCGCGTTTCTCGCGCACTATGCCTCATGCAACACACTTGATGCATCCGGTCACTGTTTGTCAACTCTAGGAAGATGCAAACAAAGCAATGGCAGCAACGAAATGTTCATGCGAATAGACATCACAAACAAATCTTATGATAGGCGACTTTTTTCCAGATAATTATGAATGCATAATATTCATATCACAGAGAAGTTATTCAGGAGGCACTAGGAGGAAATTTGTCAGTGGGCAAAGATTTTCATATTTCATACATTTACTATGTACAACATAGCCTGTTTTCAAATAACAAAGAACATCATTACACGAGATCGGGTCACTGCAGACAGCGCAAGACAGCTTTATCCTCGATCTGAAAGCCGTATAGTCACCCACTATTATAATAGTCATGCAAGCATGCAAGAATAAACTAATTAATGCATGTGACTTCATTTGAACATGTAAAAAATACTGACAATAGGTTGAAAATTTGATGACGAAAAAAACAATGCACTGATTGGTCGCCATAAATAGTCCGAAAACAAAAAAGGCGCTAATGTCGTTAGGGGAGTCACTTAAAATAAGGCAATCGAAAACCGCTGGTAGGTGACACTGGGATTAAGCCCAGGAGAGGGGAGAAACGCCAGGGAGAACAAAAATTGCTCACATCCTCCCCAGGATCCTTCCCCTCCTTGAGGCTTAATCCAAGCACTGTGAGTGGCTCACTCGTTTCGATTTCCCACTAAGCGCCGAAAAGTGAAAACGCGACAAGCCTCACCATAATAATTTAGTCAAAAAAGCAGTCACTGCGATCAGAAGGAGCCTCCTTATAGCCCGAAGTCGAAATCAAATTCCAAGTTTTAAACGCCGCATGATATGTTGTTCAAAAACTGCACTTAAGGGGCCCACTATTTTGAGCGTTATGTGTAGCACCTGTCGATCATCAACTTTTTTTGAACTGTGCCATTTATTTCAATTCGTTTCAAAATTGTAGTGCATCAAAAAGTGTATTTGAAATGTTCAATGACTTCAGGGACCAGCCGACATTTAGCTTGTTTTTACACACCCAATTTCTGGTAGTACCAGCCTAGTGCCACTAGAGGTACGAATAACTTGACTGGTTTGAACTAACCATGTAGGTTTCAACAGAAGGAGCACTTATGCGGTAACGCAAACACTTGACTCGTACCCAGACCCCCAATAAACGCCAGAATGATTTATGAAAAGAAATTTTAAAGAAAAGAATAAAAATACATACCACAATCTTTTTGTTTGACAAACTGTCCTTTTCCGTTTCTGCACATTTTTCTAGCAAGCTTTCCTTAGAGTTGAGCAGATGTTGCTCCTGTTGTTTCTTAGCCACCGCCCGCTTCAAGAAATGTGACACCTAAAATCAAACTTGTTAGAAGCTATGTTACCAAACAACCTTGAATTACCTGATAAGCCTAACAATCTTAAATCACCTAACAGATATGAAAAATGATAAACTGCGACTCCACATTAATTTTGACTGAAAAGGTAGCGAAAAATCACCTCGCCAATCGCCGTCACCTTCTGGCAATACGTCGATGACCTTCAAAGGGTCGACCGCATCACCCATACATTTAAGCAGCGAAGAGATCCGTGACTCCGTGCCGCTAGTCACCGCAAATTCTGATCCTCTGGAAAAAGTGGTAGAGGCGACTCTCGCGTTTTTTACATATGTAACTCACCGATCTTCCAGGAATTTCAAGAGATTTAGGCATATATCCGGCTGCGTTGGTGAATAGTGAGCGCAAATCAATTCAGCAGCATCGTAGTCGTGATAAACATTGACCAATTTATCAAGAATATCTCCAACTGACTGCTGAAATATCAGAATTAGTAAAAAAAAATATGGTGGTGGAAGATGACGTCATATTTTGAGGACGGTGAGGGCAGTGGAGGAGGGCCTGCTTCTACTTCATGGGAGGACATCTAAGGAATATTTGCCGTAAAACTTTCATAACAGCGGCACCCTGTGCGACGAAAAGTTTGATGATGTGCGCCATAAGCAAAGTGTCTCTTTTTTTAGCCATCCCTGAACAGTTTTTAAATGTTAGCCCGAACATGCAGCACCCCTACCAACCAGCATTTCAGGCGAAGTCCTCGACTTATCGTGGACCACTGCGATGTTGGTGCTGACGATGCTCCACGATAAGTTGAGGACCTCATTGACCTCGGACTTTAGCCACCTCCCGTGGCAGACTGTCTGAAGTTACCCATGTAGAAGGGTAGTACGAAGTTGTTCAATAAATAGAGATGTGCTATTCACGTTCATTTGGAAGCGTTCGGTTTGAAAGGATCGAAGGTGAATAATTTAATTTTAGTGGTCTTTTTTGATTTTCCCTCCTCTGCATATATGCAACGTATGCTGGCAAAGCCCTAACTACCAAATTAATTGAACCTTCAAAATAAGAATACAGAAGAACACTTAACGAAAGTTCCCTTGCTGACTATACGATCTTGTTTCTACAACAAACCCAAAGCATCCTCTCCCATCCTTTATGCGTTCCGCGACGCTCAGCAGTAACCCTACGGTTTTCGCAGAAACTCTATTCCCTAGAGAGTTGAGTGCTTCATATTTCACTGATATTCCGCTAGAAGGTGGGCTACATTCCCTGAAAAATATGACACCTGGAAGCACCGTCGAAGAGCCGACATCCACTCACGTGAAAAAATCTGCACATTCGATTTTTTCACTACGGAAACCCTTTCCAATCAGAAGGTGCTTGGATATTATAGTTGTTTTGAAGCAGGGTAAAAATCGTGTGAAAGACTTCTCTTTCTACCCTTCCAGGTTTACTTATTCTATGCCACATTGCCCACGAAGTAGAAAATGGAAGGAGGTACTCAATACGAGCAGTTCAGCGGTCTCGTGCTCCCGTGTAGCGCCACCAACCGGCAGCGGACGCGTCGCGCGTGCCTTTTGATTGGAGCGCACCAGTTGGAAAAATCACCAACCTACACCTATTTGACGGACAGCAACTTTTTTGAGTTACAAGTCTGAATACATGAGACCTCTAGTTCCTAAGGTGTACTGAGCTTGCTTTTTTCCCCCAACACGTTTTGCCATGCGGTTTGGAGACGTTGAGGATCTGTCGAGGACGTTCAACTTTACATGCAAGATTTCTTTCTTTGGGAAACAATAACTTTCTTTGATTATAATCTTTCTAAAATCTCAGAAGACCCTTGTGGTGAAGATTTATTCTGTTTGGAGTGTGCTGCTATTGTTTGAAATGTATTCTTGTTTGCGAAAAATCTGCGTGGAGTATCTATCGAGGACGGATTCCGAGCAGTCAACCCTGCGTTGCGCAGTTCGCAACGGCACGTTGAGAGATCCTCAACGCACGCTGTATGGGCGGAGACGCAGACGGCTCGAGCATGCGAGTGTGAATGTTCGCGCGAGAGAACGTGTCTAATCGGGCGAAACTGCGCAACGTGGCCGTTGAGAACTGCGCAACGCAGGGTTGACTCTGATTCCGAGCCAATCGGAAACCCAATTCCTCCTTCGCCGATGTGAGGAGCTCATTTCAAAACCCTCAACATGCCTTCTAGGAAAAATCACCTTGATGTATTTAATAGAAAAAGATACACTTGGTGCAGATCCATTCCGTTCTGGAATGCGCCATGCAGTCACCACACAGAATCAGTTGAAAAGAGCTTTGTCTATAAGACAGTTGCTTGTGCAAACCGAGAGATGTTTCTCGTCCAGATTAATTAAATAGAAAAACATCCAAGGCCATACTATATTTTGATCACTGCTTTTTGGGTTGTTTCCTTTCCAATCGTATAACTTCGTATAATGTATGCTATTTGGCGGGCGACAGCATATGAATGATCTCAGGCTTGGATTCGCCACGTTTTGAATGTCTTCAGCTGGATTCTGCTCCTACCAACAAGTTTTCTAAACACCTGGTACCATTAAATCAAAGTGCACGTTGAAACTTTAGCCCATTAACGCTGGGAATTTCTTCTTCAAAGGCCGTGCTTTCTCCCTTTGTGTCCGTCCGAATCCCTGCTTGAGTCGGGGTGTCGGGGTTATAGCGCTCCTTGCGGCTTTAAATGACCCCCATCATCCTTTTTTTACTTTGAACGATAAACCCCTGTCCCAAATACCTCTCCTCCCCCGACCGGTTGTTCTAACTTTGCTTTTTGAAAAGGGTCCGCGTATAGATCTTTAAATAGAGAATCCCTCCGGTCCCCGCGAGTCAGCAGTCCTGGTAATACTGTCAGCGACTTGAGTGAGGGACAGGTGAGCAAATGTTATCGCTTGACCGCTACCATTCCTGCCAATCGCAGCATACGTGGTATCTGCTCCCTCTCGCGTACGCCATCTCCTCGCAGCGCGGTGTCCCTCTGTAGTACCATGGACGGCTCACAAGAAAAACTTTAGTGTTTACCATGGAGCTTTTTGCTTTTTTTTTCGAGACAACATTCCTCCCCTCACTCCTTTTCTGATTTTCGAAAATAACACATCAATTAGATCGCACCCAGGCCATAAAGCAGATAGAATACAACAGCAAACTCACACACTGTTGTCACATAGCAATCGTTCTACGCCACATCCTGAAGGAATTCTGTCGTATACGGCAGTTCGATCAGAAAAACTCATATTCAAAAGCAACCGTCGAAATCGGTGGCGACAGTTGAGATCTAGAAAAAAGTTCAATAAAAAACCGAAAACCACAACTTTGTTTTGGAAAGATGCAAAAAGTCATTAATGAAAGAAGCAACAACCTCCTGAATGTATGTCTTTGATGTAAACATCGCATAGCTCCTTCGCTATTTCCTCAGAAAATGGAACACTTTCGAGATAAATGCGTAGAAGTTTAGCATCACCATCAAGCATCTTCCTGACAGTAGCACAATCCAATACTGTACTACTCCCCCACCGATATCCTGAAAAACCCTAATGGATTCCCGGGGAAATGATAAAGCCAAAAAAAAAAATTGTTTAAAAAATCGAATTAAGTAAGGCGATTGCTGGTGGTTTGTTAAGTGGATTGTTTGATTTTACCAAAAATTATTGACCGGGGCTGGTTTAAACGCATTGATAGCCCTGACGCCAACACCTTAGTGACGTACCCTTACCATGCCCCCGTGCGAGTAAATGCCGTTGCGTCGCCACTTCTTTAGCTCTCCACATTTTACATTTACAAAAGTTTACAACCAAGGGGGTTTGATAACACCTTCCACCTCGACGCGAGCCCAGCTCGCCCGATCCGCCCACATATTCTCAAGGTTCGTGTGGAAAGAGAGGTATGATATATCTAACCGAAGTGACTAGGCCGTTTTTCTCCCCATTTTTAAATGCTGATTTCAAAAAGTCCTCCCCCAAATCATACAAACGGCATCTGCGGCGATCCGTTCAAACATTCCCCAGGGGACCGTCCTCAACCCCATGTACGACCCAGCCCATACTCGTACTAGCCCCGTGCGGGTATGCGAACTAACTGGCGACCCTGGCCGCGACTTAATTAGGGTGGGTCAGGATAATGGAGGCTTAAAAATTATATAGTAATTAGACAGACCAGAAGTGCAATAAACCCTTCACTGCAACGTCAGAGAGCCCAACGAAATCCACGTTAATACATCTTGCAATAGTTTCTTATCCGTTATGCTAAAACGATAATCATTACTCCTGCTCCCAGAAATTGAAGAAAAGCCATACACACTCCTCGCAGCGGCGCAGAAGGCACGGAAATCGCATCGCGAAATGAGCAGGAAGGCCACCAAAATTACATGTAGACCAGATTTTTCTCATGATTCCCAAGAGCACGTTCAGAAATGTTTGCAGATAGCTGAAGTGCTGCAGCTGTTTCTGTTCTAGTTAGCGTGCAATTTTTTGCGCGCTCCATTTCGTGGTTTCACATGTATTCCTGAAATATACACTTACGCATTCGAGTAAGCTAACCAGGAAGGTCAACAGGTCGGGCCGACCATCAATGGTACAGGGTGGGCCAAAATTATGAGGAACGCGTGCGCGAGCGGTCATATCCACTTTTTTCGGCTCCATTTTCATCTCATTTTCTGTGCACTATGTGAAAGGGTACACAGCTCTCCTCCACTTATCAAACCAACCATGCAGTTCTTCACAACTAAGTGCAATAGTAAACATCTTCTTATGTCGGTCCTCAATGAAACGACATCTAGACAGCTTGGCATTTGCTTTAGCCCAAGACCCCCCCGAACTGTGCCGAGCACCCATGAAATACATGAATTTTTCTTTTTCTTCGAACGAGGAGTACTAAACATTCCTTAAATTTAGCAAATGGGTGCACTTGTAGTATATCTTCAGTTTCATAGGCAGATTGGTTAATTCTGACAATGTAGTATTCCTTTCCACAGGGTGACCTTATAATATTCAAGAAAAACCAAAAACAGAACGAAAAATAATTATAGAAAGGCAACTGTTCCACCAAAATGTGATCCAGGGGTTTTCATAGTTACCGTATCACTGGTAATACTGTCAGCTCACTGCTGTTTCAGAAATTAAAATTTAGGGTGAGCCTTACAATATGCAAACATACCTGCCAGGTTTCTAGGCGACTGTCGAGAAGACTTGCTAGCGCATCTTTGCTTGAAACCTTCCTACGGAGTCGCCGAACAGACCTGTCAGTGTCGAGACACTGCCACAGCGCTTTCAACCTTCATGATCTCAACCAGAAAATTGGTTCGCAGATTTGGAAGGCAAAATTGGGATAAAAGTTTCAAGAAGAATGCACCGAAAAGAAAGTGCATCATAGAAGTCACTGCAAATGGCTAGGCCAATCTGTTGCCCTCTCCATAGGTCTTTGTAGCTATCCCCCGTTGGCTCATCGTATAACTCTCACTCCTCTCTTTCGAGCGGCACAACAACCACTCAGGCCAACAGCAAGTGACTCACGATGGAATACGTTCAATTTCATCTCGAATTGACCGTGGCATTTCCATTCTCCACAACCACAGACGCCTCCAAAAGTCCCAAGCCTTCGATGTCTCACCCGCCAGCAACCACATCTTGGCTGCGTAGTTATAATGGCCAGTACTTTCTAAGAACTCCGCGCTTTCTTCATAATACGGATGAAAGTTTTCGAGATGAAAAACATCCTCCAGCTTGTTGTGAAGCGTGAACAGCTTCAAAAGTGACGTGTCCACATTCTAAACAGTGCAGTGAGTGCTATAACACTGTCATGAATAACCGAATTCACTAACCGCACGCGATTGGAGTGCGAAGTGCATTTCCCGAACTTGCATCAAGTACTCTTCCAAAAATTGATAGCCATCGTGCAAAACGACGTTGTTGCTCATAATATTCACGCTGCTTGGCCATGTGAACAAACATAACACCTGGAAATCATCAATTTATCACAAGTCACTTGTAATGCAATTTATCAAGTCGCACATGCGAGGGATAGAGGTCGACAAGTGAGAGAAAAAACACATGCACGACCAGTTCAACACAAAGATAGACCTTTTCATTCTGCCACTTATCTATGGCAGAAATTGCATTACGTTCATTTGGCTATAGGGTTCTATTCACTGGTCAATCCTACATATACTATAAAGCGCTTCGTCTGTCGTCTGTCTGTCGTCTGTCTGTATGTCTGTCACGAAATTCCCTAGCTCCTCGGGATCCGCCTGGAGAGACCGGGTCAAGTGTGGGATGGGTGGGCAAGGTCTCGCGAAGTACAAAACACACATCAGCTAAGCGGAGCCCCGCCCACAGTGGGCGTGGCGTGCATCGAAATGAAGTGTACTGACGACCAAGATTTCATTCTATACAAAACAGCCTCGAAACTGGGGAAAAAGTGGGTAAAGGTGTGCATTGGTAAGTCACATCGAATTAGGGAGACCCACCCCGGTGGGCGGGGCGTTCTCCAAAAAAGCAGTGCTTTATGAAAAATTTCATAACTCGGTTGGGAGAAAGCCTACAGAGCAGAAAACAAATTGGTGTAGGGGAGCAATGTCTAAGGTGTTTCCAGCATACATGACGTGGGCGGAGGCCCGCCCACAATGGGGGGCGCGCTCTGAAGTGTACAGCATTTTCTACAAGTCCTCATAATTCGGGCCGGGAAGTCTTAAGAGCCGGAAAAAGGTGGATAGAGGTGGGTGGAGGAGTGGAGGCCAACTGTCATCGGTGGGCGGGGCATGACCAAAGTGGGCGGAGTTTGCGACGAAAATTCATAACTCGGCTCCAAGAAGTCCCGGAGGCCGGGAAAAAGGTGGATAGAGGTGGGTGGAGGAGTGGAGGCCAACTCAATGGTGGGCGGGGCATGACCAAAGTGGGCGGAGTTTGCGACGGAAATTCATAAGACCGGGAAAAAAGTGAATTGAGTCCGACAACGCAGGGAGGACAGCTGCTATTGGTGGGTAGAGCGTACACCAAAGTGGGCGGAGTTTGCGACGGAAATTCATAACTCGGTTCCAAGAAGTCCCGGAGACCGGGAAAAGGTGGATAGAGGTGGGTGAAGGAGTGGAGGCCAACTGTCATTGGTGGGCGGGGCATGACCAAAGTGGGCGGAGTTTGCGACGAAAATTCATAACTCGGTTCCAAGAAGTCCCGGAGACCGGGAAAAAGGTGGGTGAAGGAGTGGAGCCCAACTGCTGTTGGTGGGCGGAGCATTTCCAAGGTGGGCGGAGTTCTCCACAAAACTTTGTGACTCGGCTGCAAGAAGTGCTGGAGACCGGGAGAGAAGTGAGCGAAGGAAAGGAAGTGAATTTCTAATGGTGTGCGGAGGATACACCAAAAAAGCAGGATTCGCCGCCAAAATTATAAATCGGCTCAGAGATAGTTCAGAGATCGGGTAAAAAGTGGGAAGAGGTTGGCGAGGAAGAAAAAGATAGGTGGGACATGCAAAGAAACGAGCAGGATTTGCCGCCAAAATTATAATTCAGCTCAGGATAGTTCAAAGACTGGGAGATAGGTGGACATGCAAAGAAATAGGCGGAGTTTACCACGAGGTTCATAAATCGGTCCGGAGGCAGTCCGAGGCCGGGAAAAACGGACAATTGGTTGACGATTACGGACAATTGGTGGAGGAAGGGAAGGTCAAAAGCCATCGGTGGATGAAGCATGGGGCAATCGGATAGAATTCAGCTTGAAAGTCAAATATTCGAAGTGTATTGGGCCAAATTCGAAAATTCACGCCGCACCATCCTATATCGCCGCAGAACTGTGCTGTGCGCGCAACGCGTGCGGCGCCAACTGGTGAACTTATAAGGAGATACGCACGTTAGGTAGACTTGGGTGAAGAGCCCAAGGAAACTAATACCTCTTCTGGATTGACTTCGGTAGAAATGAGTAAGTCAGCAGCTTTCTCGAACTTTTGCTCTTCTATATATCGAAAGGCGATTTTCTTCTTCAGTGTAATAAAATTCTGAAACATGAATGGGGAAGTGCTGCTGCGTACAACCGTCAAATATAAAGAATTCTTAACACTAACAATCAAGCTGTCGACATCGAAATGTTGATTT